AGGGCAGACACTGTAGAGGGCAGTTATTGCTCTGATTCTGGATTTCACATTACTTTAAGCTGTAAACTTTAGTACTAAAACTCAAAGTGTATCCATAAACATTCATAATAGTGGAGAACTATGAAATTTATCCAGAGCAAAACACTAAGCAGTCTGTCTGCAGATGTCTGAGGAGACCTGCAGCAAAATAAACCACGAGCTGCTGCATTCACAGATCTACATTCCTCTGAGAAAAATCACTTTACTTTTTCATTGCCATAATATTTGATTTTAGAAATCTTGTTTTATGGTTGTCTCTGTATTCTGCTTTGTGCAGATTTAATAATACAATGAATATACATGAATATACAAATATAATAGATCAGAGGTATCATATTTTTGAACTGTTCTTTGGAAATTGAGTTTAGCACAGGTGTAACTGGAAGCAGACACTGACTAGAATATTACAGTCTCACACGTATGAACCAGTTCTCTGAGATGAACCAACAGCAGCAGAGGTGTCGCTGCAGAGACTGTGATACCCAGACACCCAGATCTTCGACATAAACTGCATGGCATGAGTTTGGGAAAGATATGAAAATGTTAACTGAAAATGTGTGTGTGTGTGTGTGTGTGTGTGTGTGTGTGTGTGTGTGTGTGTGAAATTATTGGACTGCTAGGCCTAAGAATAGATAAATAGCATAGAATAACTTTATCAGCTGAGTGAAAAACTGAGGGTTATATCATTATTGGTTCATGAAAATAAAATGGAGTTTAAGGGAAATGGAGAATATGACTTCTGGTTTTTGCTTGACTTAATGAGATCTGTAGGCTCTGTCTAGTGCACCAGTGAGTTACACAAACTGAAAATTTTGTAATAGTTACAAACATAGACTAATGTTTATATCATGTGTTTTTTGTGGTGTGGATACTCTGTGGTGTGGATACTCTGTGGTGTGGATACTCTGTGGTGTGGATACTCCTCTGTGGTGTGGATACTCTGTGGTGTGGATACTCCTCTGTGGTGTGGATACTCTGTGGTGTGGATACTCCTCTGTGGTGTGGATACTCTGTGGTGTGGAGGATACTCTGTGGTGTGGAGGATACTCTGTGGTGTGGATACTCTGTGGTGTGGATGATACTCTGTGGTGTGGATGATACTCTGTGGTGTGGATACTCTGTGGTGTGGATACTCTGTGGTGTGGAGGATACTCTGTGGTGTGGATACTCTGTGGTGTGGATGATACTCTGTGGTGTGGATGATACTCTGTGGTGTGGAGGATACTCTGTGGTGTGGAGGATACTCTGTGGTGTGGAGGATACTCTGTGGTGTGGATGATACTCTGTGGTGTGGAGGATACTCTGTGGTGTGGATACTCTGTGGTGTGGAGGATACTCTGTG